AGATTTGTGGCGTCGGCATAGAGGTGGTAGTTGAAGCTGTGAGTGTATGAGTGACCTCACACAGTGCACCCAGAAGTGCCAATCTGATATTGCTCCCATATAAACACAGGCTCTTTTAAAATCTGTATATTCGATTAACACTTCAGGTGTGCTGCATGATGTAACTTCCAGCCAACATATTTCATCATTATGATGTCCTTTCTGGAGAAAGCTGTTTACACCCACATTTTTGGGAAGGGTTATGCATGTCTGGTAAGCAGGGATGTTGGTTTACTTTTTGAGTACCATATTTCTGGGTGTATGTGAACATACTACACTATCATTCGTGTCACACTAATCCCGAGTAAACAGATGGTACAGCATGACGATTGGAAGGATAATTGTAGTAGTGGATATAGAAAGTCTACACACCCCTGTTAAAATGTCAGGTTTCTGTGATGAAAAGAAACAAATATAATTTCAGAACTTTTTCCACCTTAATGTGACCTATAAACTGTACAACTCGCTTGAAAAACAAACAAATCTTTTAGGAAGGGGGGGGGGGGGGGGGGGGGGGGAGTAAAACACACTAATGTGGTTGCATAAGTGTGCACACTCTCTTATAACTGGGGATGTAGTTGTGTTCAGAATTAAGCAATCACATTCAAAATCATGTTAAAATGATGGCAGGTGTGTACTGACTCCTATTTAAGTGCCTCCGATTAACCCCAAAGTTCAGCTGTTCTAGTAGGTCTTTCCTGACATTTTCTTAGTCTCATCCTACAGCAAAAGCCATGAGCCGCAGAGAGCTTCCAAAGCATCAGAGGGATCTCATTGTTAAAAGGTATCAGTCAGGCAAAGGGTACATAAGAATTTCCAAGGCATTGGATATACCAGTGAAGACAGTCATCAAGTGGCAAAAATATGTTGCAACAGTGACATTACCAAGAATTGGACATCCCTCCAAAATGGATGAAAAGATGAGGAGAAACCTGGTCTGGGAGGCTGACGAGGCCTACAGCCACATTAAAGGAGCTGCAAGAATATTTGGCAAGTACTGGCTGTGTGGTCCATGGGACAACAATCTCCTGTATTCTTCATATGTCTGGGCTATGGGGTAAAGTGGCAAGACTGAAGCCTTTTCTTACGAAGAAAAACATCCAAGCCTGGCTAAATTTTGCAAACACATGAAGTCTCCCAAAAGCATGTGGGAAAATTTATGGTCTGATGAAACCAAGGTTGAACATTTTTGGCCAGAATTCCAAATGATATGTTTTGGTTAAACACTGCACATCACCAAAAGAACACACCATACCCACAGTGAAGCATGGTGGTGGCAGCATCATGCTTTAGGGCTTTTTTTTTTTTTTTTTTTTTTTTTTTTTTCCCTTCAGCTGGAATTGGGTCCTTAGTCAAGGAAAAGAGAATTTATGAACATTTCCAAATACCAGTCAATATTGGCACAAAACCTTCAGGCTTCTGCTAGAAAGATGTACATGAAGAGGAACTTAATCTTTCAGCATGACAACAACCCAAAGCATACATCCAAATCAACAAAGGAATGGCTTCAGCAGAAGATTAAAGTTTTTTTGGAATGGCCCAGACCTGAATCCAATTGAAAATCTGCAGGGTGATCTGAAGAAGGCTGTGCACAGGAGATGCCTTCTTATCCTGACAGATTTGGAGTGAAATATTTGCCCACTCTTCCTTGCAAAACCAAAGTCAAGATGTGCCATGCTGATACTAATACCCAAAGACTGGTGTAACAGAGTGCTGTAGTAAAATCAAAAGGTGCTTCAACAAAGTATTTGAGGCTGTGCACACTTGTGCAACCATAATTTAGTTTTACTTCCACCTAAAGTATTTCAGGTTGTTCAATGGAGTTGTACAGTTTAACCACTTCCCGACCGGCCGTTGTATATAAACGGCCGGACGGTGGCACTGCAGGGTCGGGTGGCCGTCTATAAACGGCCTCCCCGCACCCTGCTTGTGCGCGCTCCCTGGGAGCGCGCAGCACGCGATCCGGTGCCCGCTGTGTCCTCCGGACACAGTGAAACACCGATCGTCGGACGGGACCTCTGTACGAGGTCCCGATCATGTGATCACTGATTGGCCAATCAGTGATCACATGCAAAGTAGTAAGCAAGATGTCACTTGTGACATCATTGCTTACTATGTGTGAAATCTGTGAATGATCACAGAGGTCACATGGTACAAGGCTATTCACAAAAGCCTTGTACCATGTGACAAGTTGTGACCAATCACAGCTCACTCTGTATTTCTCAATGAGTGCAGGAATGCACACAGAGAAAGAGAAATGATTGCTTTTACATCCTATATGGGTGTAAAAGCAATCAGTGTAAAAAAAAAAAAAAAAAATCTTTATCACCCCCCACAAGTAGTACAGTGTCACCATGGTGACACTGTACTGCTAGGGTGACAGTATGTAAAAAAAAAATAAAAAAATAATATAAAAAAATAAAATAAAAATGTTAAATTATAATTTTTGCTTAAAACTAATTTGGATTTTTTTTTTTTTTTTACTAAAAAGATAACGGAATAAATTTTGGCTAAGATTTATGATGAAATATTATTTATTTGCAAAATTTTATAAAAAAAAACACTTTTTAAAAATTTTTTTTGACATTTCATTTACATAGCAAAAAAAATACAAATCCCAGTGGTGAATAAATACCACCAAAATAAAGCTTTATCTATCTAAAAAAAAATGGTAAATTCATTTGGGTACAGTGTTGCATGACCGCGCAATTGTCATTCAAACTGTGATAGCGCTAAAAGCTGAAATTTGCCCTGGTCAGGAAGGGGGTAAAAGTGTCCGGTCTGGAAGTGGTTAAAGGTGGCAAAAAAATCTGAAATTACATTTTTTTTAATGCATCACAAACCTACATTTTAACAGGGGTGTGTAGAATTTTTTTTTTTTTTTTTTATATCCACTGTATGTATGGTGGGAAAATTGTGGTTGTGACGCTTTGAGTCCTTGATTTCTGGTGAACCTTTAAATAAAACATTGCACCATGATTCTACATTGCTGCTAGCTTTGTGAGTGCAATAATTTGAGTTTTTTCCCTATTCAGAATTCTACACAGATGTCTTTCTAACATGTTTCTAAACAGAGGAGCAAATAGGTGAGCCTGGATCTGCCAAGTCCAACTGATCTGTGATGGGCTTATCTACTTCAAAATACTGATTGGGAAAAGTGATCATTGACTCGCCTGTAAGTGGTCAGTCTCTTATGGTGAGCTTGCATATAAATAATGAATTCACAAAGATCAAAGGGAGAAATTGGTGATTGACGTAAAATATTTGTGGACTTGTTTTATGGACTTCACTTGTGTTTTTGTTTGCTTTAGTTGCAGTGCCATTTAATAATGGTGTATCATATGTAGACTTTATTGGTGGTGAAGGTGAGAGTAGTGCTGGAATGTATTTAGCTAAAAGTGTACATGATGGTTCAGAGACTTGTGTTGCATTTCTTTGGATGCCACTTGTTCTATGGAGGTGTTTGACCTGTTTTTGCCTGAAGTTCTAATGCTGCATTTTCCATTGAATGCATGTCTTTGTAGCAGTGCTCTATTTGAATGAGAGGCTGCTAACCGGCACATCAATGAGCCACAATGCTGCTTATTTATATTGTAGGTATTGGTCAAGTGTGATGCAGCCACATGGTGGAATTTGTCTCGTGACGTAGCAGACTTTTTCATGCATATGATGCATTGATGTGATGTCCCTGTTGTACAGTGAAGGAAATAAGTATTTGATCCCCTGCTGATTTTGAATTTTTGCCCACTCAAAAATGATCAAAAATCAAGTAGGTGTACTGTAACACAGTATAGCAAAAAAAATTCAAAAATGCATGGCTAACAAATTATGCACGGATTTGCATGTTCATGAGGGAAAGAAGTATTTGATCCCCTATCATTCAGCAGGATTTCTGGCTACCAGGTGTCCTTTTCATACAGGTAACAAGCTGAGATTAGAAGCAGTCTCTTAAAGGGAGTGCTGCTAATCTCATTGTTACCTGTGTTAAAAGTTCCCTGTCCACAGGAGTAATCAATCAGATTCCAAACGCTCCACCATGGCAGACCAGAGCTGTCCAAGAATGTCAGGTACAAGATTGTAGACCTACATAAGGATGGACTGGGCTACCAAACAATCGCCAAGCAGCTTGGTGAGAGTGAAAACAGTTGGTGCAATCATTCGCAGATGGAAGAAACACAACAGTCTCCCTAGGTCTGGTGCACCATGCAGGATCTCACTTCGTGGCGTGTCAATGATCATGAACAGTGAGGAATCATCCCACAACTACATGTGAGGATCTTGTCAATGATTTCCAGGCAGCTGGGACCAGTCACCAAGAAAACAATTGTTTTTTTTTTTTTGTTTTTTTTAGACTGATTATTTTTGTGAGGGGCAAACATTCAAAATCAGCTGGGGATCAAATACTGATTTCCTTCATTGTATGTTCTGTATGGTGGTTTAGTTGAAGTACACATGTGGGGTATTAACCTGAAGCAGCTGTGCATGGCAGCCAATCAGCTTCTAGCTCATTTTTTAAAAGCTTAACTGAACGAGCCAAGAAGCTGGTTGCTATGCAGAGCTGATCCCCTAACAATGAACAGACAACTGACTCCAGAAGTGGAGTAATGCACGGCTTCTGAGGCTGTGATTTACCCTCCCATTGGCTTCAGTGGAAGGCAGATGAGACATTGGGGGTCTTTTTGATCCGATTTCTACAGTCTAATCCAGGGGTCTCCAACCTGACGCCCAACACGGTTATTAACTTAAACGTGTGATATTGTAAAAACCAGTTTACTTTTGGAGAATGAATGCGTCTGAAAAAATTGACTGTTGCCCTGGGCTTTAAGTAGTTGTGTGAGGTTGATCAGTCCATCCACTACTCTCCATTCCAGCAATCTGCTTTATCAGGTTGACGTTAACCATTTCCCAACCGGCTGTTGTATATAAACGGCCGGACGGTGGCAGTGCAAGGTCGGGTGGCCGTTTATAAACTGCATGCTCCCTGGGAGCGCACAGCACCATGATCCGGTGCCTGCTGCGTCCTCCGGACACAGTGAAACACTGAGCGTCGGACAGGACCTCTGGCCAATCAGTGATCACATGATCAGGACCTCGTACAATCAGTGATCACATGCAAAGTAGTAAGCAAGATGTCACTAGTGACATTGCTTACTACGTGTGAAATCTGAATGATGAGGTCACATGGTACAAGGCTATTCACAACAGCCTTGTACCATGTGAGATGCTGTGACCAATCACAGCTCACTCAGTAGTTCTCAATGGCTGCAAGAATGCAGACAGAGAAATGTATTGCTTTTTACATCCTTTATGGGTGTAAAAGCAATCGTGTAAAAAAAAAAAAATCACCCCCCCCCCCCAGGTAGTACAGTGACACCATGGTAACCCTACCGCTAGGGTGACAGTATGTTAAACTTTTTTTACATTTACTTTTTGTTTTATTTTTTTTTTTTTTCTTTTTGGTTATAAACTAATTTGGCTTTTTTTTTTTTTTTTTTTTTTTTTTTTTTTTTTTTTTTTTTTTTTTTTTTTTTTTTTTTTTACTAAAGAACGGAATACATTTTGGCCAAGATTTGATCAAAAATTTTGAAAAAAGTGTTTTACAAAACTTTCTGCAAATATTTAGACATTTTTCATTTACATAGCAAAAAAAATAAATCCCAGCAGTGAATAAATACCACCAAAATAAAAAAATACTTTTTTTTTTTTTTCTCAAATGGTAAATTCATATGGATAGTGTTGCATGACCGTGCAATTGTCATTCAAAGTGTGATAGCGCTGAAAATTGCTCTGGACAGGAAAGGGGTAAAGGTGTCTAGACTGGAAGTGGTTAATACAGGTTCTTTGATTGTAAGCTCCAAGGATCAGGGCCCTCCTAACCCTCTTGTATTGAACTGTATTGTTGCTGTATTGTCTCTTTTTATATTGTAAAATGCTGAGCAAACTGGGGCTATATAAATCCTGTGGGATATAATAATTTTTTTTTTTTTTACTTTTTCAAGATTTTAAATGCCATTTAAAGGATCTTACCTGGATTCAGCTGGTCTGCCTGCATTGTACTGTGTATCTCCTGTTTTTCATGCAGTTATTTTCATAAAGATACTCCTAGGAAAGGGGGTGGGCAACCTGTGGCTCTCCAGCTGTTGAACTAAATTTCCCATGAGGCATTGCAAAGACCATAAATTACAAGCATGATCCTACAGGTCCCAACACAGACAGTTACAGCTATGACTTGCAGAGGCATGATGGGGCTTGTAGTTCTGCAACAGCTGGAGAGCCGCAGGTTGCCTTCCCCTGTCCTAGGACTGGATGTATTGGCTCTTCATGGAGGAAAGGCACAGCAGCAGGATGGCTAATCTGATCAGGGACAAGCCAGGCCTATGGTCTCTCTGGGCCTGGTTGCGATTGCTTTAGTGACCCTGTATTAAAAGTGGCATTGCTGTTTCCATAGGCTACAGAATCAAAGGTGTGCATACAGATGAGATGTTATCACATCTGGACATGATTGCAAAAATGGTTTAATTTTCCAGATTTTGTCATTCTACGTAGTATACTGATCAACATCCCGGCAAGTGCGGGTTCAGGAATTTTTACCTCTGTTGCTTAACCAGGGAATCCTTTTTCTAGTACATATTGGGGACAGAATATCTTCATCTTTCATGTTCACTTAGATTTACCTGGCAGTCTAACTTTTCATTGAGTTCAACTTCTGAAAAGCTGTAATGTACAGTGTGGTTTTTCCAGCATCTCCCTGATGGTGATGGGTGCTAGAAAACTATGAACATCCAGCTGCATAGGGAGTCTGGAATTGTATTAATGGAGGTGGTACTGGTCCTCTCCCCGCAACCTTCTACCTTTCTTAGGGCTCGTTCACACTTGACTGTTTTACCAATGCTTGCCAAACGCCCCTATACCACTTGGCAAGCGTTGCTCCGGCATTTGCGGAGCGTTTTTTAACACTCGGCAAGCGCTCCGAAAACGCTGTATGTGCGGTTTAGCGGCGGTTGCTAGGCGTTTACTAGGCGTTTGCCGAGCGTTAAAAACGCCCCACAAACTCCTATAATGAAGTTTAAATGGTGTTACCGCTCTGCAACCGCACACGCCGGGCGTTTGCAGAGCGGCACCATAGACTAGGATAGGAGGCTTCAATGCCTCCTGACTTGACCAGAGGTGTCAGTTGTGACGCAATGCTAATGCTCCTGTTAGAACAGCACCATGTGCTGCAATGTGCAGAATTGTCAAACGCTTCCCAAATGCCTCTCTGCCGCCTGCACACAACGCTAGTGTCAACGTACCCTAATCTATTTCTTGTACTGGTTGAGGAGGAGGCTGTTCAAAGTCTACACATGATGGTAATTCTTCATGTGTTAGTATAAAACTATATAATCGCTGTGACCTCAACTGTAACTCTTGACGTGTAAAGTCTTCTTTTTTTTTTTTTTTCAGCCAGACTAACTATGTAACTGTCACATTACATAGTGTGAGGCATATTGTGAGATGTCTGCTTTTATTGCATGATATGTAGGTTATGGCTTTACAGTGTACTGATGTGTTGTCTGTCAGGACTGTCTGATGCGAGTACATGGATGGGCTGTATACCACTTGAGTATTTGTGCATACTGTGAGCATACACACAAGCAGGAAGTGGTATTTACATGTATGTGTGCATATACACAAGGACTGGCAACTCAGATTTTTTTTTTTTTTTTTTTTTTTTTTTCCCAGACCACTATGCAGCACTTAACTTGTGTACAGCTGCATTGAAAAAAAAAAATGGGCTGCATTTTGGATCGGAAAGTGTTTTTTCAGGCAGCCGTGTGCAAGAGGCCTAATAAACCCTTGGGTGCCTGCCTTCAACCTCTTGCTTTGTCTTAAAGTGGCAGTCTCTCCAACTTTTGTTTTAATTGGGTCCTCAACCTCCCTCTCTGACCTCACTTTAATTGTAACAAATTTGCCTTGCTGCTTTCCTTTTGCAGTAGGCGTTTAGCTCTGACAGCGTACCCTGAAGAAATGCAATGAGGTGAGGAATAGTATGAGCCCTGCTTAACCCCCCTGGCGGTATTCCTGAGTGTAGCTCGGGGTAAAGTTTCAGTACCACAAGCGGTAACCCCGAGCTACACTCGGGCTTACCATGCGGCGCTGCTCCGCGATCCCTCGATCACTTACCTGGTCCTGCGCTCCCGCGATGTCCCTCCTGCAGTGTCCCCGGCAATGTAATCAGGCAGATGCCGGCATCTGTCATCTGGGTTCCGTCCCCTGCGAGCGTCGGGACGGAACGGCGGGAAATTTGAATGACAAAAAGTGACATTCACTAAATATACTAAAATCACATAGTACAACATTTCTGTATCAAACCATTTCACATACATTTTGTCCCGAGTGCTTTGTCCGGCGCCCTGCCTGCAATTTTACTGTTCTTTCTGCCTGGAAACTGAGAAGTCCATGGCGTCCAAAAAGCGTCCCTTTATGTCAAAATCGGTTTTAGACCGGCTAGAGAACAGCGATAGTAAATCAGAACCACTTGCAGAATTGAGTGATAATGATTTGTGGGGGAAATTCGTCATCAGACACTGAAAACGATTTTGCCACTTTGCTCAGTGATGTGCGAACTTGGCGCTCTATATCAAATGTCAGTGTTTTTGGTTTGATTATATTGAATTAAATTTATTTAATAAATCATAAAATTATATAATTTTTGATTTCGTGTTTCAAGTTTTATCCTACCCGGGATGTTTACTAGACTCTTGTTCGGACAGATTTCAGTGAGTTATTCCTAAAAATTACAGCCTACAATAAAAAAAATACATATTTCCATGCAAATAAAGTACCGCTTTGAGCACAGAAATATGGACATAATCAGACCTCTAGTGAGGTTAAAGTGGCTGGATGTTGATAGAGAAGCTCATAACTTGCCCTTAGTATCCAGAATTTAGGCCTGTCTGCACACTCAAAGGAATTGTACTTTACAGGCCCGTTATGACTAGCAGGTACATCTGGGTGTTACTAAGGGGCCTTTGGGCTAAATGGCAGATTTGAACTTGTTCCCTTTCTTCTATGTTGAACACAAGTGGTTGTATAAAGCATCTATATCTACAGAGGAGTAAGTTTTTTTTTTTTTTTTTTTTTTTTTTTTTTTCCAGGCTGATTAAAGAAAACCCGCACTCTAAGATGTTTGCTGACATCTCAAAGATTGGCTGTCTGGCTTCTATAGTTTCAGAGTGCTCCAACAACTCTGCATGTGTTATGAGGACACATAAACCTTTTGCCATTTTATGTACTTGTATTTTATGAAGCCCTCTAGTCATGTGGAAATGCACATTGACCTTTTGGCTCTCAAGCCAACCATTGCATTTTTGGATAATGGTTGACAGGTTAAATGGTCATGTCTTTGTCACTTGTGTCCCTGCTAGGGAAAGGCACAATCTTTAATCAGTGCTCTGGTGACCACAGTCTCCTGTGGGAGGGATTCCTCTTTAACCACCGCCCGCCCTATAGTACAATGACGGGCGCAAGGTTGTTCTCTCATTCTGATAGGACGTCATGATGTCCTACCATTCTCACTGCGCATGCGCAGCTCAGGGAACACGCAGCTCGGCGATTGCCGGTGCCCCTCGGACACAGCGGATCACAGAGAGCCGAAGATTTCGGCTCGGTCATGTGATCAGCTGTGTTCAATCACAGCTGATCACATGTAAAGACGGAAATGCCAGCTATTGGCATCTCTTCTCTTGAGCTGTCACGCTGACAGAGGAGAGGAGAGCCGGTAACCGGCTTTCTGCGGAGGGGACATGTACACTGATCATCAGGGCACTGATGATCAGTGTGGCCCCAGAAGTGCCACATGCCAGTGCTCATCAATGCCACATCAGTGCCCATCTGAGCTGCCTGTCAGTGCCGCCTATCAGTGTCATGTATCAGTGCTGCATTTCAGTGCTACCATCAGTGCCCATCACTGCAGCCTCATTAGCGCACATCACTGAAGGAGAAAAATCACTTATTTACAATTGTATAACAAACAAAACTTTTTTCAAAATTTTCAGTGGTGTTTGGTTTAAGAAAAAAATAAAAATCCCAGAGGGGATTACCACCAAAAGAAAGCTCTATCTGTCTCAAAAAAAAACATTTCATATGGGTACAGTGTTGCATGACCACGCAATTGTCATTCAAAGTGTGACAGCGCTGAAAGCTGGAAATTGGCTCTGGGCAGGAAGGGGGTATAAGTGCCCTGTAGGCTAGTGGTTAAATTCTGAGAGA